CTCCAGAGGGGGGCGGACCCCGCCAGCACCCCCCCCCGACGCGAGGCGTGACCGAGCCGCCGCACGAGACACGGAGCCATTACCGCTTTCAAATGGGGGGGGGTCCTGCAGCAACTCCCCCCGACGCGAGGCGTGACCGAGCCGCCGCACGAGACACGGAGCCATTACCGCTTTCAAATGGGGGGGGGTCCTGCAGCAACTCCCCCCGACGCGAGGCGTGACCGAGCCGCCGCACGAGACACGGAGCCATTACCGCTTTCAAATGGGGGGGGGTCCTGCAGCAACTCCCCCCGACGCGAGGCGTGACCGAGCCGCCGCACGAGACACGGAGCCATTACCGCTTTCAAATGGGGGGGGGTCCTGCAGCAACTCCCCCCGACGCGAGGCGTGACCGAGCCGCCGCACGAGACACGGAGCCATTACCGCTTTCAAATGGGGGGGGGTCCTGCAGCAACTCCCCCCGACGCGAGGCGTGACCGAGCCGCCGCACGAGACACGGAGCCATTACCGCTTTCAAATGGGGGGGGGTCCTGCAGCAACTCCCCCCGACGCGAGGCGTGACCGAGCCGCCGCACGAGACACGGAGCCATTACCGCTTTCAAATGGGGGGGGGTCCTGCAGCAACTCCCCCCGACGCGAGGCGTGACCGAGCCGCCGCACGAGACACGGAGCCATTACCGCTTTCAAATGGGGGGGGGTCCTGCAGCAACTCCCCCCGACGCGAGGCGTGACCGAGCCGCCGCACGAGACACGGAGCCATTACCGCTTTCAAATGGGGGGGGGTCCTGCAGCAACTCCCCCCGACGCGAGGCGTGACCGAGCCGCCGCACGAGACACGGAGCCATTACCGCTTTCAAATGGGGGGGGGTCCTGCAGCAACTCCCCCCGACGCGAGGCGTGACCGAGCCGCCGCACGAGACACGGAGCCATTACCGCTTTCAAATGGGGGGGGGTCCTGCAGCAACTCCCCCCGACGCGAGGCGTGACCGAGCCGCCGCACGAGACACGGAGCCATTACCGCTTTCAAATGGGGGGGGGTCCTGCAGCAACTCCCCCCGACGCGAGGCGTGACCGAGCCGCCGCACGAGACACGGAGCCATTACCGCTTTCAAATGGGGGGGGGTCCTGCAGCAACTCCCCCCGACGCGAGGCGTGACCGAGCCGCCGCACGAGACACGGAGCCATTACCGCTTTCAAATGGGGGGGGGTCCTGCAGCAACTCCCCCCGACGCGAGGCGTGACCGAGCCGCCGCACGAGACACGGAGCCATTACCGCTTTCAAATGGGGGGGGGTCCTGCAGCAACTCCCCCCGACGCGAGGCGTGACCGAGCCGCCGCACGAGACACGGAGCCATTACCGCTTTCAAATGGGGGGGGGTCCTGCAGCAACTCCCCCCGACGCGAGGCGTGACCGAGCCGCCGCACGAGACACGGAGCCATTACCGCTTTCAAATGGGGGGGGGTCCTGCAGCAACTCCCCCCGACGCGAGGCGTGACCGAGCCGCCGCACGAGACACGGAGCCATTACCGCTTTCAAATGGGGGGGGGTCCTGCAGCAACTCCCCCCGACGCGAGGCGTGACCGAGCCGCCGCACGAGACACGGAGCCATTACCGCTTTCAAATGGGGGGGGTCTGCAGCAACTCCCCCCTACGCGAGGCGTGACCGAGCCGCCGCACGAGACACGGAGCCATTACCGGTTCTCTTTCTCCTCTATGTACTCGTGGTCGCTGACTTCTGGCATCTGAACTACGCTGACACGCACGGGGTGGGCACTTTGAAGGAGTCGGCGCACTTCCTGCACCCTCAGGTCCTCACTCCAGATCAGCGACATCACTTCCTGATTCATATCGTTCATCCCATCGTCCTCCTCCTCTGCCTCCGCTCCCGAAGGCCCATCGGACGAGAGCACCTGGGCCACAGACTGGGGGGGGAACAGATGGGGGGTCATTTCTGAACAGGCCGCTCAAGGAGCCAACAAGACACTCGCCCTGTAACCCCCGGTCTGAGGGGCCGCGGGAGCGAGGCGCTCGGAGAACAGCGCGCCCACACATCCCTGGGACCTCTAGACTTGGATCAACTCCAGCCATCCACACGGACAGGGTCAGCCCCTCCCAACGAGGAGAGAAAACGGTTCCTGTGGCCTCCAAGGCGAAGCCAGGGAAGTTCAATGACTAACCCCTAGGGCAGTGGTCACCACCCAGTCGATCGGGATCTACCGGGAGATCTTGGAGCCTCTGACCGGGGATCCCGACTGCTTTGGCCAAGAGGCTGCCAAGTGCTGGCACTTCAGCTGCCCCTCCCGCCTCTCCTGCCCTTTGCCTTGGAGCTGCCTTTCCCCGGGAGCCTCCTGCACGCTGTGCAGGGCAGGGAGAGGAGGGGGTGATGTCAGGACGCCCCCTCACATCCTGTATCTCATCTCCACAGAATGGGGGGGCAGATAACGGCTTGGAGTGGAGGGGGTTCACTGGCTGCTTTAGGGAGTGGTGCAGGAGCAGCGTAGGGGTCAGTCTGCCTTAGCCCCACTGCACCCCCACCCAGGAGCCACCTGAGGTCAGCAGTGTCCAGCTGGAGCCAGCTCCGATCCCCTGCCCCAGTCGTGAACCCCTCCTGCACCTCAAACTCCTGCCCTACCCTGAGCCCTCTGGATCCAAACTCCCTTACACCGCCTGTACCCTGAACCCCTCCTGCACTCCAAACCCCTGCTCCCAGCCTCATTAAATTGAGTAAGGATGGAGTGAGCAGGGGCAGGGCTCAGAGAAGGAGTGGGAAGGAGGCAGGGCAAGGGTGTTTGGGTTTGAGGTAGATCCTGGATTGCACTTACATTCAAAAAGTGATCTTGTGCTTAAAAAAGTTGGAGACCATTGGATTATGGCTTTGTGGATGATGGGCTTCACTCTCTGGCTACAAACTATGGCAGCAGTTATGTATGCAATATCTCTCAGCAGTTGCTGTTTTACCCTATGAGCTGAGAGAGTATTTTTCTCGTCAGCAGTGCCCAGCTGGAGCCAGCTCCGATCCCCTGCCCCAGTCGTGAACCCCTCCTGCACCTCAAACTCCTGCCCTACCCTGAGCCCTCTGGATCCAAACTCCCTTACACCGCCTGTACCCTGAACCCCTCCTGCACTCCAAACCCCCGCCCTACCCTGAGCCCTCTGGATCCAAACTCCCTTACACCGCCTGTACCCTGAACCCCTCCTGCACTCCAAACCCCCGCCCTACCCTGAGCCCTCTGGATCCAAACTCCCTTACACCGCCTGTACCCTGAACCCCTCCTGCACTCCAAACCCCCGCCCTACCCTGAGCCCTCTGGATCCAAACTCCCTTACACCGCCTGTACCCTGAACCCCTCCTGCACTCCAAACCCCCGCCCTACCCTGAGCCCTCTGGATCCAAACTCCCTTACACCGCCTGTACCCTGAACCCCTCCTGCACTCCAAACCCCCGCCCTACCCTGAGCCCTCTGGATCCAAACTCCCTTACACCGCCTGTACCCTGAACCCCTCCTGCACTCCAAACCCCCGCCCTACCCTGAGCCCTCTGGATCCAAACTCCCTTACACCGCCTGTACCCTGAACCCCTCCTGCACGCCAAACCTCTGCCCTACCCTGAGCCCTCTGGGCAGTGTATTAGTAGCAACAGAGCTGACTTGAATGGGGCCTGCGTGTCGTGTCGTCTTGCCTTCATCATTGTATTCATGCCCGTCAGTGCAAAAGAAGCTATTTGCATATATATACACAACCACACTTCAGTGGCGGTCCTCGGCATGGGCTGTATCACTGTGGCCCCTGGGGCTTCCAAAGTTGAGTAGCCCTGATCTAATGGGCTGCGGCTCCCGCCCCGAGCTGCCTAAAAGTTTGTATGATCCAATATCAGAAAGGATCGTTAACCATCACAGTTCCCAGCACATGCTGGTACCAGTAAACATACCGGCGATGAACGAAAAACAAACCGATTTCACTAAGTTCAGACCTGATAGCACCACCCCACTCGCCAGTGCCTCCTTTGAAAGAGGAAACTCCACCCTGCCCCTCTGAAAGAGGAGAAGCAATCTGGCTTGGGTAGAGCACTTTCTCCTTTTAAGGTAACGTTTAGGACAACGCCTCCCAAGCCCAGGGACAGGAGGCAGCTGCCACAAATCTCACTGGGGTGAAAAGGTCGCCGGGGAGAGGTAAAATGAGTCTTTAATGAATGGTGGCCCAGTACGGGAGGCTTGTGAATTGCTCCTTTTCATTCAGAAGAAAACCTCGGAGTTGTGTCACACACACGGGCGCTGCTGTGAGGCAGCTGGGTAAAGGCAAAGCTGCTTCTTAGCGGGCACTAAACAGCTGGTGGGGAAGGGCCTTTGCCGGGCGCGCAGAGAGGAGCGAGCGCTCGCTCTCTGTGGCGTCTCAGCGCAATGCACACTCTCGACGTCAGGGCTGGGCACGAGGACCCCTTCGTTCTAGTGTGTGGTCCTGGGCTGGCGACACCCCCGGAAGGGGCGGGGCTGGGGACTAGCCTCCCCCCGGAGTTGTCTGGGGAGAGAGGCTTTGAATTGAAAACACAACAAAGGGCTCCTGGCTCCACTGCTACTGTGTTGCCTGACAGCCAACTGGGGTTGCTGCAGATATTTAAAGGGCTCGCAGCTCTGGCCCTTGGTGAGCCACTGAACGAGGATCCTGCTGCCAGAGCCACCGCCTGGAAAAATCGGTGGCACAGGCAGCAGGCTAGAAATAGAAAGCAGCCAGCTGCAGCCCATGGGCCGGATCCAAGTGTCAGGCAGGCCAGATCCAACTCCCAGGCCGCACCTGGCATGCTCTCAAGCTAGCAAGCAATATTTCGTCTTGGTACAAAGGCCCCGAAAGAAGGCACCCATGGACAGTCAACCTGAGAGGCCCTGGTGACTCCAGCTTTCAGATGACTTTTTTTTTTAAGGCACGCTCTAGGGTTTACAGAACAGAAAAACCCTTAAGGGCGAAAGAAGAAAAACATGTAGAAAAACATCCAGCGTGCTTCTGAAAGCGTGTCAGATTTCCCACAATGAACAGGAAGAGTGCGCTCATGTCAAGCCAAAAGAGTCAGAGAAGGAAATACCTGGCTTCCTGTGCTCTCGTGTAACTGTTTCGCTGCCACACGCCGAGGGCAGAGCATGGAGACTTGGGACCTGAGAAAGTCACAGCTTTGCAACGCAGCAGCAGTGACAGAGGAAATTCTAGTCACTCCGTAGGTAAAACTCCGCTGAGATTTGTACTTAAGGGAGGATTGAAACCCATCTGGTTTACACTCGATTTAATCTACATATTTAAACACACTCCCACGCTGTCTGGTGCCGGTAGAATTTTCTGGTAAAAACACTGACTGTTTGTAAACCACACGCCGCCCGGGCTCACCAATCTAGAGTCCTATATACCATCTCTCCTACACAAAACGAGCGGTTTTGGCCAGCTCGGAAGTCAAAAGAGACTAGCCCAACTTTCTAAGCATTTAGAAAGCATGCGGAGCAGGCAGGGTGATACTGATATCTGTCTTTCGGAAGTCCCCCGTTATGTCGATACTCACAGATTTGCCCTTTGCCAGGTTCCCTTCGCATGCCTGTTTGGAAAGATCTTGACGCCCAATCAAGAGACAGACAGCTTCCGGCCAATCAGAGGCAGGCTGCTCTCGGCAGTGATATATGGCATCTCTGATAGGAAGCGCGACCCCAAAGGGGAGAGACTCCAGATCTCTTAAGGTGAAACCTTAAAATGAGAGGAACAACCTTATAAGGGTTTTTAAAAAGGCATCATCCTGAAACTGGCCAAAGTGACTGTCAAACATCAGACTGCGACATGGGGTTACTGTCAGCGTGCAAAATGGTAAAAGCTTTTCTTACCTACACTAGTCATCCAGACAACCAGCTTTTCCGCAAGGCTGGAAACAGACGTGCTTTGTCTGAAACTATACCTACAAAAAAACGGGAAAGCAGACCCTTGTGACTCAGAAACAGCAGTATCACAGCGCAAGTGCAGAATTCATCAATGTTCGAGTTACCGATCGTCATCTTGTTCTGTTGGCTGTTTTCGTTGCCCTGAAACAGAAAAACAAGTTGTCTTGTTGCCAGGTGACTGTAGGAACAATGGGAACTGGTGTCTACAGGCCAATACCCAGGCCACCCGACAGCCTCTTCCAGCCCATGTACCTGGAGTTATCCTGAACAAATAATGCGAGGCTTCGTCCGAAACGGCGCTCTCATCACCCAGCACGTACAGCGCGACACTCTGTGTGCGGGAAAGAAACGACATTATTGAACACGTTGCCAAGGACCAGACCAATCACTGTCCGTGGAAGCCAGCAGCGAGAAATACACTGCTAATGACGGCACGCAGAACCTCAGCTCCTTATGAAGACGAGTAGCAACTCCCCAATTGAGAGGGCACCGAAATTTTCCCTGGCGCTACGTCTACACTGGCAACTGAACGACAGAAACGTTGTTGCTGAGAGGTGTCACATGACACACACTCTCTTATGAAAGACAAAAGTAATGCCGACAACAGCTCTTTGCTGGCAGGGGAACTTTCCTGCCACAAAGCTAATGCTGTTAGTTGGGAGGGAAGAATTCTGTCGGCAAAAGAGATGCCAAAGCAGCTACACTGCCTGACTTCCCGGGACCCGGCTGTAGCGACCCCGCTGTGTTGCTAAGAGCTGTGTAGTGTAGACAAAGCCTTGGAGGACTCAACACTCTCAGTTTTACACATTAATGGCAGGTTTTAACCTCCACGTCTGGCAAAGCATCTCTTACAAAGACAGCTGGATCTTCCAGGGTGTGTTTTCAAAGAAACGCTTATCGGAAATGCTCCCCTTTGGAATTTTTGCCCTGCACCTCTCACATTTCAAACACCAGCCTTCTAGCTCCTGCAACCCCTCACCCCCTCCCCCAGCAGGTCAGTCACTGGCCACTTTGCCAACACGCTGAACACAGTTATTCCTCAGTTAACAAGACCCTCCTGGCATCTCTCCTCCAGCAGCCGCCTCCACTGCCAGACGCTGCAGCCTCGCAAGAGGCAACCTTCCCTCCCAAAAGAGTCTGGTTTTCATCGAGAGCGCCTGGCCAGCCGAAAGCCCGAGTCCACCCAGAGGCTCTGCACATGCTGCTGGTGGGGCAGAGAGCCTGGGGAGGCAGACGGGAAGCCAGAGCTAGGCACTGACTGGATGTGAGGGGCCGGCAGGCAGCCAGGGGCTTATGCAGACGGGGTTTACTGGAAGCAAGGGGGCGGGCTGGCCGGGCCTGCTGGGGGCCCTTGGTGCAGCTGCCTCACCTTCCCACATCACGTCCCAGGGCATTATCCCGTACTGCCCTTCCAAACAAGGACACCCCCCCGCAGTCAGGCACACCAGTCACACAAACCCGGAGCCCAGCATGGGCAGGCAAGCGCTTGCAGCATCGACACCTCCCTCCTGATCTGCCGTGCAAGGCCTGCGGCCAGGCGGGTACCTACCAGCACCACCAGCTTGCTCCTCTCGCAGACCCCGGGGAGGTACGGGTACGGCAGGCCTCCTTCCCCCTTCAAGCAGGAGCTCAGCCACTGAAAGATGCTGGGAGGCTCCGCAGAAAAAAACGAGGGATGGTGCATGAACCCTGTTTGGGCTTAATCAGACGAGCAGGCGTCACACGGGGCACACGAGAAACAAAGGCACTGGGGCGGTGACGCCAGCCCGAAAGCACAGGCCAAAGGCCACCGCGCTCTGCCGCTAGTTCTTCAGCAAGCGGGCGCGAGGGGCTAAACATTCCCCCCGACCACTCTGCTTCTGTACGCTCCGGGGTCTGCTCAGGAAGTTCCACACTTCAAGGATAAGCCTTTCGAAAAACCACGTCCTCTCTGCAGTCCAAGACCCCAGGGCATGGGACGGTTTCTCACACAGCGGAGCTGGAGAAGCACCGTCCTGCAAGCAGCTTCTAGGACTCGCTTTGCTAAGAGAGGACAACCCCACTGGGCTTCCCCCGCCTTTCCTCTTTGCCAACGCCGGCTAGACGGTTCAAAAGCCCCTTCTTAGCCAGTCAGCAGCTTCTCTTGCGAAAGGGCCGTCTCACCAGCTGGGGGGCGAGGTTGGGCAGCCAGAAGTGCCCCTGATTTAAAACCCCCCAACAAAATATTGTTTCCAGGAGGGGCGCAGTGCCAGCTCAACGGATTGTAGGCCTGGAGCCAGAGAACAGGCGCAGAACGGGCTCCTCCGCCCTCCCAGCCAACACCCCTCAGCCTGTCCCTGAAAGGACAATTTCTAAGGATGAGCGGGTCACTGGGTCCCAAGTCTCTGAGCCTCTGCGAGCCCCCAAGGTGCCGGTGTCGGCTGCGACAGCGTTCGCGTGGGCACTGGGCCGACACCAGCAGCCCTCAAACGGTTCGAATTTCAACTGGCTGCCACGCTGTGTCCGGCACAAACCCGGAACAGACGGGCTGGGCCAGCAACCCCCGGCAGGGAGCAAACAAGGGACAAGGCCATCAGACCGCTTGCCATCGTGTCCCGCTCCCGTCGCTCTGCCCAGCTCTGATTCCCAGCTCGCACCTGACCCCCCCACTGCGCCTTCTGCCTTTTACCTGTGGGTGGCTCTTGATCCACGTAAAAGGCAGAGCCGCAGCGGGGTTAGCTTGCGGGACCGGGCGCCAGCCCCACCGCGGCTCTGCAGTTTCCCCCTTATCGACCCATCGAGCAGCCGACGGGAATTCCGCCAACCACTCGACTGGCGGATCGAGCGCCCCGCGACTGCGCCGCGCTGGCCGGGAACTCACCGTGGTCGATGAGGCACGTCTGCCGGGGGCTCTGTGCCAGCGCGGGATACTCCCGGAAGTAATAATCCACGTAGGCGTCGAGCTGCAAGTCCCTACGGGCGAGACAGAGCAGCCGCTTCCTGGGCCGCGAGGGGCGAGCTGCCGCCGGG